AAGGAATGAATTGTGATGTCTCGTAATTTGGGCTTTTGAAAACTACAGTTGTTGACCGATTATCCTACGATAAATCAAGTCGTAGCTGTTCGTAGATTTAAACATGGGGAAAGCAAGATTTGATGCAAGTCGTAGGGACTGCAAGTCTTAAAACAGGTCCATAGTGGACCTGTCTAGATTTTAGCACTAAACTTACGATAAATCACCGAGTTACCGCACCCATAGTGGGTGCTCTAAGGCCATGATACTATTACTGGTACAACTGATTGTTCTTCTACTAACTTGGACACAAGAGCCAAAAATCGGTATCATGCAACCTACTTCGTCTGTCTTGGAGTAAGTCGTGCAGTCATTTCTGGCTCGATCAAAGGTTAAATTTTAACAAATTACTCAAGAGATTAAAAAACCAATGAGGAATGATAGCAACGCCCGAACCAATCCGACACGATACGACTTTTCGGAGGGTTTCCATGTCGTATCGGCCAACCCATATATTCAGACCAATACCCGATACGATATGAGGACAAAAAAAAATCCAAAAATTCGGTCGGCCATATCGTGTCGCTGAAGCGATACGAGCCGATACCGTACTTAAAAATTGGTTGCAAGGCTTTTCAAGTAGGAAAAAGCCAAATCGCCTCCATCCTGTATCGCGTCGCCGATACCCGATATGAGAAAAGGGGACTTCTCATGTCGGGTCGGGTGAAGCGATATGGAGAAATCCGACTTTTGATGTCGGATTGGCGACACGATACCAATACGATACCGACTTTTGTGTCGGATTGGTTCGGGCGTTGATGATAGACGTCTTTCTTTTGAGAAAGATCGTTTTACCGGGATTGTTGAATTTTTATATGAATTTCATTGACCCCACAAATCGGATAGCTTCTACTGCAGATGCTATCAAGACTTGAGTCCCAATAAGGGTTGCATAGCTCAAGTATTCTGCCTCATTTCTGATGGAGCTATTCTTGGAATCAAGTCGCGGTGATTTAGCGTGTCAGAAGCTTCAAGTGTAACCCAATCATTTCTTTTTCGCAAATCATTAACATTTAATCTTGCTGAGCTTTCATGAGATACAAATTCAATAACATAGGCCCGTTTATCGTGTATCCTCATGATTGACTGCTGCTGCTGCTGCTTTACCCGAGAAGGGGCCAAGATCAATTGCTTTGCAGCAGGTCAAGACATTCTGTTTCTCTGACCAACACACTTCTTCATGGGCGATGTTGACCACATCCTCATCAGGTAAGCAAAGAAAGCCAGGCCGGAGATAATTATTTTGAACTCAGCATGCATACTTATATTGAAAAATGCGACTTGGAATAGAGCAGGCTGCTTGTAAAAACAACTGCAATCATCAGGTAAAGTGTATACTGGTAAACTGAATGGGACGATATTTTTCGATATTAATAAGATGTGCTAGAATTACATGTGAGCAGATTTCGTTTGGGATGAAATAGAACTGAGAAGGCATATTGCCTTTAGGGTCAGCGAACTCAAGCTGGACACCAGACTCTGACAGGTCGAGAGCGATCAGGAGCGATCTGAGATTGGCTTTTCGTCTGAAACATGAGTTTTAGTGGTGTCAAATGGACGGATGTCAAAGATTGAAGTTCATCTACATAAGCTGAGCATGCGGTTAAACACTAACTTAACAATCTCTTGAAGGTCGAACATTTGGCCTAAAGTTTGATTCCGAAGCTGGCAGTTCGTAAGCATGAAGGGGAGGACCCGAAAGTGGCGCCGAATGTGGAGTCGAACCAGGGAGTTCGTAAACCGGATTGGAAGCTGCAAGTTCATGAACTGGGCGTGAAGCTAAAAGTTCGTGAACCGGACGCGCACGTGGGTTCGCAGGCGCGGGAAGTTCGTGAACAGGATTACCCTCAAGCTCAATGGGATGATCGCTTCCATGACGGTCAGGTTGTACTGCGGCCGTTGAAGATGATTTTGGCTTCTTCTTTCTACCCATCATTTTTGCGACGAGACGACCAATGCTAATCAAATCAGATCGATCAAAAAGACAAGGATGAATGAAACTCGCTATGAAAAGAGAAATTTAAAAGTCAAAAAGTTGAGAATCGCAGACCGAGACATTATTTTGAATGGGATGAGATGATTTAAATTTGAAGACTGAAGTTTGATATCAATCAGCTTGTTTCTCTTGACCGCGAAACTTTATATTTATGGAAACAAGTCATTTCACAGCCAATCGCAGGGATTCATGGCGATGACGATAAAAGGGTTATGTAAGATTTGAAGTCACATAATGACATCATCGCTGACTCTCAATTACCTTTTCACTTTTTGGTGGTTTCTTTTTTGGTAATCAAGGATCGAGCATAGATTGATGGTCTTGTGAGAAAAGATTAACATTATTCGATGTCAAAGATTACTAAACTTCCAACTGCTCTTGCTATCATCGTCGGTGTAGGTCATGGTACTGGTTCAGCTGGTGATTCTTCTATCAATCTTGCCAGAAGTAAGACTTCTATCATTGAGACTAACTTTACTTTACTTTAATTGTTCACTCTTCTGTCTTTAAAGTAAGTCACGCCTTTAGTCAAGCAGGTTATGCTGTAGCTCTTTTAGCTCGATCAAAGGATAAACTGGAACAAATCAGTCGAGAGATACAAACGAAAGGAGGAACGGTATGTAAACGTTCTTCTTTCTTCCAAAACCGATCGCTCATAGCACTCATTCTTTAATCCTGGAAATGATTTTCTCAAACGATTGATTCTATAAGGCGGATAGCTTTCCTTGCGATGTTTCTTCTGAGCAATCGATTAAATCGACTTTTCGAGCTATCAAGACTAGATTTGATAAATCCCGTTAAGAGTTGCAGTCTTTAATTCGTCTAGCTCATTTCAAATGAGCCTTTTCTAGAATCAAGTCGTGATGATCTCGAGACTAGTCTCAACGTTAGCGT